GTTCAGTGTCTCGTCCTGAGATATCGCCGGTCGACTCGCTTCGCCGCCATTGCTGGAGACATTAGCATCGTTGAGACTTGGTTTGAGCGAGTTTTGAAAGTCTTCAAAAGTTTTCTTTAGGGAAGCAATTTCGGATTTGAGGCTGTCATTTTCTTTTTTAAGCGAATTAACAGACGCATTAGGCATAAGCCCTTAACCGCCGACAAAGGCAGCACAGAGTTGCTTCAAAATATACAGAAGTATATTCTGTATATTGTGCAATACCGCGCCTTAGTTTCTTTCCCTTTACTCACAACATGCCAAGTTAAAAATAACTGACCAATCAGAAGCGCTATTTAAACAAAAGCGGCGGTTCGACACATAAACAAACGACTGCGTCGCATTAAGGTTGGAAACTATGATAGGCCTTTGAGGTGTAGAAGACAATGGCTTCGAATAAAGTTTCATGCTGTCTTTTCGTCTCTTCCTTTGCCTTGGGAAGTGCTAAATACTGCTCTGACAGCTCCGATTGTTCGGTCCTTGAGTCCTGTTGTACAGATTACGTCTGCAGAGAAAAATGTCCCCACTGTTCGTCCGACTCCCAATGTGGAACGAGCGAGCAGTGCTGTAATAACGAATGTATCAGTAGTTGGTCTTCTTGTTTCTGTTCGTTCAACTCCGAATGCAACAGTGGCGAGCAATGCTGTAATAGCGAATGCATCAGTAGTTCGTATTCTTGTTTCTGTTCCTCCGACTACGAATGTGACAGTGGCGAGCAGTGCTGTAACGGCATTTGCATCGATAGCTGGTCTACATGTTTCTGTTCGAACGACTTCGAATGTGACAGTGGAGAGAAATGCTGTTATGGAAAATGCATCAGCAGTTCGTCTCCTTGTTCATGTTCTTTCGACTTCCAATGTGACACTGGAAAGGAATGCTATGGGGGAGTGTGTTCTTCGTACTGTGGTTTGAGGGGCGTGTCTATTGCAGACGTTATTATCAAGGCAGTTATCTTCTTTGCCATCATCATCATAGGGATATATCTTTTTGTTATCCGGCGTGAAGTGAGAATGCAGCCAATCAAGCCACAAAAGAAGCAATTAGAGAAGCCCATCACAAACCAAAGCCAAATACATGAGTCACCGGAACTACCAAAGAGGCTACTACAGACACCCACCACTATTGGGTCGACGGAGCCACTACCAAAGCCGCAAAAGATTATCACCACAAGCCAAAGCCGAAAACATGCGTCACCGGAGCCACCAAAAAGGCCACTACAGAAGCCCACCACAAACCAACTCCAAACACTTGGGTCGAAGGAGTCACCGAAGAGGCCAGTACAGAAGCCCACTACTAGCCAGGGCCAAACACGCGGGTCGACGGAGCCAGCAATAAAGCCACGAAAAACTATCACCGCAGGCCAGAGCCAATCACATGAGTCGAAGACGAGCGGATGGCCGATAACCAGGGATGAGTTTCTCATGTGGTTCTGGGACTCTACCAATGGAAATCAATTGATCTTAGACCTAAACAAGTTTGCTAATAGTAAGCGCTGGGATGATCGCATTCGCCAAGAGAAATATAGACCTTTCATCTATGCCATTGTCCTTAATGATGGTTCTTTTCCATTTCAAGCAAAAGACGAAAATGTTGAAGACGGAACGGAAAAGCAATGGAAGTTGTGCAAAGTTGGATTTACAAAAAAGAGTGTTGAAAGGGGTATAAACAATAGGATGGAGCAACTGAGTGATAAGATAAAGAAAACCTACCAGCCGAAGAACTACAAAGAGGCAATGCCATATACACTGTTTGCAGTACCGTTCAGAGCGATTGACACCAACCCGTATCATGACACAAAAAAGAGAATACGGGAAAAGATTGGGAAAAGGGTGAAAAAGGAGAAGCCAAGGAATTAGATTTGCCTAATATTACAGAGTGGGTACTGACGACACAGAATCACATTGACCATATCAATAAATTAATTGATGAATGTGCTGGTGAGGCTGATTTAGATATATTCGAAAAGATAGTAGATGTCCCAATGCCTCCTGAGGAAGAAAGAAAAGAATGGTTGAAGCAGCAAGTACAAGCTCCTCCGCCGATAAACGGCCAGCCTCCTCCAGGTTACACATGGTCAACTTCCTCCTGGTTTTGATCAAGCTCCTCCACCTTACCCAAGCAACCTATCGCAACCAAACCAATATACTCCACCTCCAGGACAAGCTCAAGCGGAGCCGATTCCGGCTGCATTCAATGCTGTACAACTGAAGAAGTTCTAACTAAAGTAAACTGTGACGTAACTCATCCAAACATAATACTGTTCCGGTGAAATGAGTAACCTTCGGTTTTACTTCTTTTTACAAAGACACTGACGCAGTCTATTATTAAACAATGTTGACTGATCTTCACGCTGTACTTTTACAAATTCGATATTCCATGTCTCTTCCGTCGTTCAAAAGATAAAAAAAAGTAGACAGATTTCTTACAAAAACATTTTTGTCAGAAAAAGATGAGTTCGGCCATTGGCAACAATAATGATATTCAAGAATGAATATTTTATACTTAGAAACGTAGTTTCACTTTGTGTCAGATATAGCTGCAGCTGTGTTTAACACAGTTCTATACTTCCTTGAAATTCAGTTCATGATTGTGAATGTCAATCGTGTTGTATAGAAGCAAAATGGATTGAACATACATATACCGATAATAAATTTGTGTTACAAGCTTGGTTGTTGAGACTATATTTCAGCTGCTGCCTCATTTATAGACATGAGCAAACCGGTTTATCCCGTCTCAGGAAGATTTGATACCTTTTCATTTTCTTCTTTTAGCCGATCAAATCTCTAGGAGATCCATCGACGGCATATGCTATATCGATGCCGAACACTTGTGTGTTGTCTCAATTTTGCGAATAATAAATTTTTGTGAACAATTAATTTTTGCGAATAATTAATTTTTGTGAATAATTAATTTGTGTTAATCCGCGTGAAAGGTTCCGTTTCACATATCTGTGACCTGCTAGCAACGGAATTTTGCATTGAATATTCCGAACTTTTTTATTCTGTTCTTGTAATAATGGCGAAAGTTTCGTCTAACCCATTCATTGAGAAATTGGGCTGTTTGTTTGAAACTAAACTGACGAGACCTGTCGAAGCCAACCAAGTGGAAACATGTGTAAAAGATTGCTGTTGGCTTTCAGTTTTAAACCTAATCATGCTTTTGTTTCGTTCGCTTTTCTACGATGAAACTAGACAGACTTTAATCAGCGAATACCAAGCGGTTAAAATTATTTTGTTTCGCCACATTTATCATTTTGCAGATGTAGATACTATCTTGTAGGGCTTGACCCTTCCCCTGCCTATTGCAGATAAAGACACAGAGAGTGTCATTTTCTTTTTTAAGCGAATTAACAG